TTCTCCCTCTCGTCCCTATACGTAGCAACACGCCTCCTTTCCTCCTCTTCCTTGTGCTCCTTTTTTGCAGCCTTCTCTCCGCGTCTCTTCTCCATTATCTCCTTGTCCTCTGCCTCCCACCGCAACAGTTCTCTATCTATTTCTTGTCTTCAGGCTTGATCTCAATGTCGATCCACTACTTAAAATCACAGAGCGGTGGAGGGGTCTACAAAAAATACAATTGTTACAAAACAAAAAAATCATGCAAAATGTCATGACACAAACATCAATTCCTCACCATCTTGTTAATGCGGCGCTGACGAAGTGTAGGCTCAAACGCAAAATTAGAACACATCCAATACCTCTGTCTATACGTGTCCTCTTCATCGGACTTGGCTACCTTGCAAGGATTGCTGCAAAAGCACATGGGCACTGGAACACCACTAGGCAGAGGCAATGGGTCGAAGGCATTTTCGGTCATCCGGCCATAACTACAATTCAACCAATTTCGTTCTAAGAACCGAAAGCAATTAATATTAGACCCTAAACCTAGGGTTTCCCATTTGATGCACAACAATGAACCCATAACATAACAACATGCACTAAGATTACCTTGGTTTGCTAGCTTTTTCACGTCTTGGCATCCTACGGTTGTATAATACAAATATTAAAAATTGCATGAAACCCTAAGTAATGACGATTCTTAGGTTGAAAAATTCGACTAATATATACAGAATCGATGCGAAAAAAACTAAGAGGAGAGTGATGATACCTTGCTCTCGAAGATCTACGGATCAAATTAAATCAAAGTTTCCAAGGTCCAATATGCCGATTCATGAGGTAGGACGAAGTGGAGAGAGAAAAAACCCGAGACGGAGGAGAAAGAAGAGAAAGAAGGCTCGGACAAGAAGGTTGGGGACCAGGTTAAAACACCACCTCGGCACTATAGATTCTGGCACCAAGCTCGGCACCAGGATCTACGGCGCCAAGCTCGGCGCCAGGATCTACGGCGCCAAGCTGCCTGCCAAGTCACCGTCACGTCTGCGTCGAGCCCAAGACCTCGACGCCAGCGATGATGGCGCCGAACTAATGGTCCAGATTTTAAAATCATATCTTCATGAGCATATTTGTGAATTTTTTTTTAAAAAAAAGCTAAAAAATAAAAAAGTTGGGTTCGACACCTCCAAACTAATTGCAATCATGCACACAGCGTCCGAGAGGGTCAACCTGCCGCTAAATCTAGTCTAGTGCATTATTGCGCTGACGGCATGAACTGGCCCCTGTCGAGAGTCGGCCATGCTTGATGTCATGACTCATGCGTGGATAGATTATCTCCGGCTCCTGCTGCAGTTGTTTACCCTTCCAAAACTGCCAAACCGTACCCTAACAATTGTACTATATGCACGTACTACGCGCTACAAGTTGAAGTGTGCAATTCTATATACGCAAATTATTGTGTACTAAACAACTATAGAGCCGCTCTCTCACGAGCCCTAGTAGCTAATCTCATATAAAAACATCCTCTTGATCAAGACCCTTTCTAGGTTCACTAAACATCTTGTCTCTACATATATATTCCTCTCACCTTCTCATTCTTGACCCTGAGCTTGATTTCACCTTTTGCTAGCTCTAGCTTTGCTAAGTACGTAGCCAAGTGCCCAAGTCTTGTGCTTGACCTGCCCTGCCCATGGCTGAGAAGAAGCTCACGGGCCCGGCCATGGCGGAGAAAGGAAGGAAGCCGGCGGGGCTCATCATGAAGACGCTGGACCGGTGCCGCAGCAGCGCGCGGAGGAGCAAGCCGGCGCCGGTGCCGGAGGGTTGCTTCACGGTGTGCGTCGGCGCGGGGCGGCAGCGCTTCGTGGTCCGGACGGAGTGCGTGAACCACCCGCTGTTCCGGGCGCTGCTGGAGGAGGCCGAGGAGGCGTTCGGATACGCGGCCGCCGGCCCGCTCGCGCTGCCGTGCGACGCCGACGCCTTCGTGCGGGTGCTGGAGCAGATCGAGGAGGAGGACGCTGCTGGCCAGGCGGCCGCCGTGGCGAGGTGCGGCCTTGTCAGGGGACACTCCGCGTACCGGCTGCTCGTCCCCGCCCGGCCTCTCCTCGTCGGCCGGTCCTAGCCTGGGACTGGAGGTCAGGTGACGACGGTGCTTGATCTCACGCCGATCAACACCAGAGATGAGTGTGTACTGACTGATATGAATCGTGTGCAAACCATGTAGTACGTAGATGCCAACTGCCACAGGTGGTTCGTGCGTCGTAGTAGTTGATGAGTTATTGAGCTCTAGTTTTTTGTTGAGGACATTCTTATTGTCAGACAGACAGAATGTCGTGTGCTTTAGTAATCTAGACGTGTTGATGGCAATTGGCATATTGGTATATATGATGTATGTTGCCCTCGCATTATGTAATTGCAGTTTTCCCTTCTCTAGAATCAAGAATGTAGCTAGCTCTTATAAAGTCTTATTAACCAGCTAGTGACAAATTCATTTCGATGAAAAATTTGTTCACCATGAGGGACATATTGAACATTCCAAGAGCCTAGAGTTTCTGTGGTTCACTTTTCTAATTTGCTATCAGATTTTACAAGTAGAAATACTACGTCCTGTAGAGCAAGGCTATACGCTACAGTGCTGTCATCAATTTGTCAAAACAAAGGATTATGTCTCATCTTAAAAGGACTCAATATTAAACATTGCGTTACCTTGAACTTTTTATATTTATTTAGAGAGAAAATGAATTCAAGCTGTATGCTACATTCTTGGTGTTTCGACGGAGGAAAATTGGAATGATAAAAAGCCTACCAGAATTCAAGACGTAGTTGGTTGGACGTCCAGGGCCTGCTAGGCTGGTTTCCCAGACCGTCGATTTCAATTCATTGACCTGGTGGCTAGGATTGTTTACCTAGTAGGCGACTTACCTGTCAGGTAGCAAACTAAACACGCCCCTAGCGACACAGCATTTTTCATTGTTCACAGCACCTCCGGATGATTTGTAGACTGTAAGTACTTGTAAAGTTGTAACTCTAGAGCTTACTTGTTACCAGCAGCTTCATTTGATTTCACCTGATTTGGTTGCTTCATTCTGATAAGTCCTAGATGCCCCAAATTCTGGTTTTCTTTGATTCTTGTTACATCCTCATAACAACAAAATCTTAGGGCATCAGTTAATCATGTTTACAAAAAAAACTAAAAATAAAATGGCACTGTGAACTGATTATTCTTCACAAATTTTACATCCATTCTCAGTATTATAACTTGTACCTAATCAGTTATACTTTACCATATTGACATAATTAGGTAAAACATAGGTGACACTCTTTGAACATCCAAAGACAAACAAAGAATTGTCATTTTGGTAAATTGTCTTCAATATCTTTAATACATGTAATACAACATAGTTTGTCAATTTTCTAGCTCAATTAATCTTACAGCATGGAAAAACTAGAGGCATTAAGTTTACAGACGTAAAAAAAGTATTATCTCTGCAATTGTAGCTTGTAAGAGACAAGTTTTGACTACATCAAGACATGATAATAATATTGCGGATATGGACCTTGATACAGTACTACTTCATCGTTGTCTTTCTAAATAAATTTTGTTTAAATCATTATCCATCAGCCTTTGGAACACTTGGACCGCCAATGAGATAGCATCAACTTAAAATCTGAGGAGGTGCTCCCTTCCTCATTTTTAATATTGAATCCTCTGGAGTCAAAAGGCTGGATGCTTGGAGACACCTTGTTTTCTCAGCTATAGCTCCATCCAAAAAGCTAAAGGAAGACCATGTAAAAGGGCTTTTGGTAACAATGCGGGGCATAATTCAGCTTGTGATTACCTCAGCAGTTTCACAAACAAAGGACAAATCTTGCAAAACGTTTTCGGAAGAGAAAACATTCAGAAACAGGGTAGTTTGAAAGATGTAACATGCAGAATGAAATAATGTTTTTTTTTATGAATATGCAGAATGAAATAATATTGCTTCTAAGTTACAACTCTAATGGAGTAAAAATACATAAATGCCTATGAAGTTTTTTTTGGTGAACTACCTGTGAATGTAGTAATTGAACCACAAAGTCAACATACATAAGCCTGAAGGAGATTAAGACTAACAGAGCCGTTCAGCCCACAAGTGCAGTTTTGCAGACAAGTAGACCACACTCGGTGGACTTTTGATAAACACAACAATGACTAGAGCCTCCGTGCAACGCATAAATTTAATATATTCAATGGTGAAATATAAATAAATAAAATTTTGCAGCTTCAAGCATTGGACAGGGGTGTTTGTAACTATTCAAAAAGCAAAAAGAGAGTAAAAAAGCCTTCAAGTGAATGTGGTAGGGCAACAGGTTTAAGAGCCTATTCTTGTATTGCCAACATGTTGACAGCCTCAATTCGCAGGCACAAACTAATCGCCTAAAATGTCAATCACCTATACTCGTAAGAATATGTCACTTCTACCCATGAAGTATGGGCTGATCGTGTGAGTTACAACCAAACCTCTAGCCTCTAGGATTTCATTTAGGTCTCCCTCTCCAGTTTTCGAACCCTCACCAGAATCATAGGTATGCATTTCGAGATGGGAGAGAAGGAACAGAGGGTAAACTTCACCTAAATGCAATTAAACATTTAAGCTCAGTATACACGCCGGAGAGTCTCCCTCCTCTCTCCGAAATCCGGTCTCTGGGCTCGTCGAAAGGGGTTCATTTGAAAAGTGCCAAGCAAATGGGCTCAAACAGAAACCACCGATACAATAAACGGCCTAGCCCATGGAGGCCCACCTACCTTTCTCTCGTGGCGCGGCCCAAGTGGCATCGCCTAAACCCTAATCCCGGCACCGGACGGCCGAGACCGTCCCGCTTGCTTCTTCACCTCGCATCCGACGGCCAGGCTGCGTCCAGCTCGGCGCGAGTCATCCTTTATAGAACCACCTCTCCGCCTCCAAGAGCCACTCGCCGCCTCCTCCCCCTACCTCGCGTCGCCGTCGTCGTCTCCCGTTCGGAACACCAAGCTCCCCTCCGGCGAAATGGTGCGTGCGGTCTCGCCGCCGATCTTCCGCTTGTGCTTTCGGATTCCCACTGATCCAATCTCTTCTCTGTTTAAAAAAAAACTGGGATTTTTGGGATATTCTTCGGTTATATTTGAAATCTTGTTTCGTGGATCTTGGGGGCACATGCTCATGATGCTTATGTTCTTGTAATTTTCTGGTGTTAACTTGCTGAAAGTCTGCGTATGATTCATGTAATGTTCTAAGAGTTCGACTTACAAATCTGCAGGCCCCGAAGCGAGGTGGCAGGGCGCCGGTGCCGGCCAAGAAGAAGACGGTATGTATTGCGCTTTCCCGTGTTCTTGCTCGAGATGTGTGCGGCGCCATGGTTGGAATGCGTGGTCTGACTGTGTTGGGTTTGGCTGGGTGCAGGATAAAGTTGTGAACCCTCTGTTCGAGAAGAGGCCGAAGCAGTTCGGCATCGGCGGAGCGTTGCCGCCCAAGAAGGACCTGCACCGGTTCGTCAAGTGGCCCAAGGTCGTGCGCATCCAGCGCCAGCGCCGCATCCTCAAGCAGCGCCTCAAGGTTCCACCGGCGCTCAACCAGTTCACCCGCACCCTCGACAAGAACCTCGGTATGAACACCACTCACCCCTCTTGTTTACTGAGAGTGCTAGGTTGCTAAGTAAGAAGAATTATCACCTTTTAACTGCAAGTCTTGATTTGATTCAGAAACCTGTTCTGTTTCAGTTCCACAGTAGATTAATAACGAACTATATTGATGTTTGCGACTATGCATTATAAGTTCCAGTTGCTGTTATCTTTCATTGTTTTGGCCATATTGTTGCATCAGGCTTACCATTTAGCCATTTACATGTTTGGGTACCTTAAATAGGGCAGCAGGCTTTCCAAGAGTCTATTAGGATTGCGCCTTTCATCAATGTGCCTAAACCTGTAAACATGATTGAACACCATCCTGCTAAAATTAGTGGACATGCATTCATCTAAATTACTGAAAGAGCGATGTATTACCATGTCACCGATCACTGGAATTGATAGACACTGAATGCACTCTCGTGTTCTTGACTGGCTGCTATGTTAGAACTATGCCGTTACTGGAATCATGCCTTATCTTTTTTCTTTATATAATGGTATATGCACCTATTCATTTTGTCAGAATGTATATTATGGTGCTGAAAATCTATGATGTTAAATGTTTGCAGCTACCAACCTGTTCAAGATGCTTCTCAAGTACCGGCCTGAAGACAAGGCTGCCAAGAAGGAGAGGCTTCTGAAGAGGGCTCAGGCTGAGAATGAAGGAAAAACTGTTGAGGCCAAGAAACCAATTGTTGTTAAGTATGGCCTTAACCATGTGACTTACCTCATTGAGCAGGTATGACTTTGGCACTTCTACTTTATTACTGGGTGTAGTCAGTGTGCAACATTTTTGTTCCAACAAGCAATGGTATTGATTGAATGTATGAATTTGTGCAGAACAAGGCTCAGCTTGTTGTCATCGCTCATGATGTGGATCCGATTGAACTTGTTGTGTGGCTTCCAGCCCTGTGCAGGAAGATGGAGGTCCCTTACTGCATTGTTAAAGGAAAGGCTCGCCTTGGATCGGTATGTTTTACACTGCTGTTTTGAGCTTTCTAAAGCTATCGAGGTGTCTGAAACAATAAGGCTCACGATTATGGTATTAATCGAATGCAGATTGTTCACAAGAAGACTGCATCAGTCTTGTGTCTGACCACTGTTAAGAACGAGGACAAGCTTGAGTTCAGCAAGATCTTGGAGGCTATTAAGGTATGAAACTATGGCATATATTGATTGATATCCCATATTTGTGGTTCCCCCTGATGAGCTGATTCTGAAAACGTCCTCTGCAGGCAAACTTCAACGACAAGTTTGATGAGGTCAGGAAGAAGTGGGGAGGTGGCATCATGGGCTCCAAGTCGCAGGCCAAGACCAAGGCCAGGGAAAAGCTGCTCGCCAAGGAGGCTGCGCAGCGGATGACCTAGATTGCTGTGTCTGCCCTGTAGGTTGACGGGGAAGAACTGATGAGCATTGTGCACTCGTATTGTGGTTTTCTGAATCAAGTTTCATATATGTTTCTGTCCACCAGACCGTGTTTAGAAACTTTGCAAGACAGTTTACAGTGTTTATGCGATGTCCCAGCTCAAAGTATTGTCATTTGCGCCCCAGGCAGCTTTGATTTTATTTGCCTAACAACAACTCCAATAGTATCTCTATTTATTGATAGAGAGATTTTGGTGAAAAATACCCGTTAACAGTTTTTTTAATAAGATTTTTAAATATTGCCATCTTTTATGTTTGTTTGGTCGCAAATGTCTTAATGAGGATTTAAAATGAGTTTAAGAACATGCTTTGGAAGTTTTTTCTTTTCTTTTGAAAAAGAAGTTATTTTTCTTTTCTTTTCTGATGATGTGATATATCGCCTCCGTGCTGTTAGTGGTGATAGCGTTCCCAACTTCCCATGGTATTTGCCACTGCCTCTGGAAAATCTTTTGCCACTGCCTCTGGAAAGGTAACAATAACGAATCTTAGCTGGTAATAATAACGAATGTTAAAAGAAACCAGTAACTAGGCGATTTATCTTTAAGTTGGTAATAAAGCTAGTCGGCGAAACCAGTAACTTGGCGATTTTATCTTTATAATTGGTAATAATAATAACAAATGTTAAAAGAACCAGTAACTAGGCGATGGACCTGGCCCATTTGGATTGCTGGGCTGGTCTAGCTTAAGTGACACTGACAAGCTGGACCTTGCCTTGGAGTGCACGTGGACACCACGCCGGTTTCGTCCAGAAAAGCACACAAGGCCGAGCTGGAGAAGCCGTTAGCCCAACGAAAAGACAAGAAGGTCCCGTGCTCTCTAATCCCGCAAAACCGCTTGATTCCAGTGAAGCTCCTGTGGAGGAGACGGGCAAAGCTTGTGTTTTCCCGGACCGCGTCCAAGGCCTGCTCTCGAGGCGCCTCCGGCCTCCTCCCAGATCCGCCCTTCCCGTTCTCCTGCTCGCGCTGCAGGATCCGTCGTCTTCCTCCGTCCGGATTTGGGTTGGCTTCCTCCACCTGGACCTGGTAGGGAGAGTGGGAGTGTCTGTTCTGTTCTGTTCTGCAGAATCTTTATCTTGCCTATTAGTACACGTTCACTGAAGCCTGCGCTACCTGCGGGTAGTTATAATGATTCGCTTATCCTTGAGAATTCTGATCACGTGCGGTCTAATTTGATTGCATTGTGATTCTGGCAGTGAGACGATGGGGGCGACGAGCCTCGGATTGGATGCCTTCTTGCTAGTCATCTGTCTCGTGCCTTTGCTGCACAATGCTGCGGCTATCCGCTTCGTTATCGACAGGGAGGAGTGCTTCTCCCACAACGTCGACTACCAAGGGGATACGGTCCACGTATCCTTCGTCGTCATCAAGGCGGAAACGCCGTGGCATTATACCCAGGACGGCGTCGATCTTGTGGTACGGCATCTCTTCCTCTTCCTCCTCCCTTGGCTCTATAGTCTGTAGTCTGTACTGTACTTCTGTACCCAGGTTTAGAAAGTGTGGGAGTAAAAGTTTGCCTGCTTTCGGGCTTACGGTTATGTCAGTTGTTGACAGTTGAAGCATTCAGCATAATAAATCAGAAATAAGAAGGTGTGCACAGAATGTATTTGAAATCCAACTATCCATTCGGTGCCAGCGGTTTCAACTTACTAGCTCAACTCATTTTACTTCTTAGTTCTTAGTTGTGATCCTGCTTTGCTTTTGGAGGGGGTAGTCAAGCTCTAGCATTAGATTTTATTTCTCTTTTCAGGAAGCAGCCTTCTTTTTTAAAGATGGAATCAGTTAACCAGTTGGGAATGGTTACTAGTTATTGTACTCCTTCTGTTTTTTTCCAGAGTAGAGTAGTCAGGATTGAGTTCCAACAAAATTTGTTTTGTATATCTAATCAGTTAAACAGAATGGACAAAGATTTCATCTGTTGGTTCATGCTGAGGCATCCCTAATTTAATATTATTAAACAGTGATACATTCAGATATATTATTTTGGCATTTCATATCCGTGTTAATTAATTCATTACCTTTTCCTTCAGATTACTTTATAATACAGAAGCAATTGATTACCCTTTCTGCTAATTAAGAAGTTTGAATCCACTATAAAGCTGATTCGATCTTGATTGATGGCAGGTTAAAAATCCTACAGGTGATCAAATATATGATTCTCGTGACAAGACTAGTGATAAGTTTGAATTCATAGCTCAAAAGAGGGGTGTCCATCGCTTTTGCTTCACTAATAAGTCACCGTATCATGAAACTGTGGACTTTGATGTGCATGTTGGCCATTTTTCATATTTTGATCAGCATGCTAAAGATGGTATGACTTGAGTTTCCGTATCCTTCTTTTAAGTTGTCTAACTAGAAAAATGTTTATTGATCCCTATTCTTTTGCAAAAAATGCAGAACATTTTGGCCCTTTATTTGAACAGATCGCGAAGTTGGATGAAGCCCTCTATAACATTCAGTTCGAACAGCATTGGCTTGAGGCCCAAACAGACCGCCAAGCAATATGTAAGCCACTCTTGTCATGGTCTCTTGTCGAAATACTAAGGAGTTGTAATATGTTATCTTTGTCCATGATATCCTTTCTATCGCCCTTTTCAAATACATACATAGGCAATACTTCATCAGAAAAGGATCTAGTTCCTAAAAAGGACTCTTGTTCGTTTGCCCTGCATTAACATGTTCAACCTGCAATTCAAGCATAAGGTTTACAATTTTGAGAACCCTCATGTATTCTTCTCCTCCACTAATAAGCGCCATGAGAACATGAGAGTGCATGCCCAATCCTTTTGTGTGAACCTTACTGTCAGCGGAACGCCTCCAACGGCTAGAGCTCTCCGGTTCTTCAGTCAAACGCATGCCGCGCCCAACGCCCATCACGCGCACGCCGCGCACTCCACGGCGCCCACGCACTCGCAGAGCACGCTCGCCTGTGTACTCGCATGCCTGTCCGCGCACTTGCCTGCTTAGGCTTGGCCTCTGGCCACTGTTGTAATTTATATATGTACAACACCTGGGATCAATACAATTGTCAGTTGATCAACCTTCCTTTCTACATGGTATAAGAGTCCAAGGTTCATCTTATCAATCCCTTCGCCATTGCTTTTGCATCAATGGTGCAGTCTCCCTCGCATTCTGCTGCTTCCTCCTCCGACAATCTCCCCATCGACCCTGTCTCCACCGCCGTCCTCTAGGCGGTAACGAGGGTTGAGACCTCGGAGGAGATTCAACACGTGGCTCAGCTTGGAGACGGGGTGTCCGATGTCGCGGAGTTGCTCGGCGAGGCAGTTGAACTTGGTGTAGTAGTCGTTGATCGACAGGTCGCCTTGCTGCGTGGAGCGCAGTTCGGCCTCGAAGTAGAACGCGCGCTGCAGCTCGTTATCAAGGAAGAGGCCCTCGATGGCGTGCCACAAAGAGAAGGCGGTGGTGCGCGGCCGACGAACGATGTCGAAGACGGGCCTTGGAGACAGTGGTGAAGATCCAGTGACGATGCAGGAGTCGACCAATCGCCATTCGCCGTCACGCTCCTCGGATGGGGTCGGCGACCGGACATGGCTCTCGAGGCTGAGCTTGCCGAGCGCGGAGTCGAAGAAGCAGTGCCATTGGCCATAGTTGACCTCATCAATGTCCAGTGTGACGGGGATGTGGGAGCGGATGGAGACCACCTGGAGGACGGTGGCGGAGGCTAGGTCGACGGGGAGATCGTCGTTGGTGGAAGTAACCGAGTGCAACGGAGACAACTCCATTGATGCGGAAGCGGTGGCGAAGGGATTGATAAGATGAACCTTGGACGATGATAGCATGTAGAAAGGAAGATTGATCAACCGACAATTGTATTGATCTCAGGTGTTCTACATATATAAACTACAACAATGGACAGAGGCCAAGGCCAAGGCCAAGCCTAAGCAAGCGAGGCGTGCGAGTGTTAGGATCGATGTTTACCTTTGTGTGTGTAACCGTAGATCCGGGTAACATTCCATTCGCCATGCGCGGTTGCGCTGTGACCTCGCGGACGCCGGTGTCGAGGCAGCTCCGGCTCGGTGGCGAGGTCCAAAGGGGCGGGTGGTGACTGCAGGGAGACAATGAGTCGGTGGGCCATCCTGTCGGCCTGGCAAAGACGCGTCTTTAGATCGGATTAGGGTTTTCTTTGGTGGGTGTGGCGGCTCCGGCGAACCTCGTTTGTCGAGCCCTCACCCCCACCTTCCTTTTATGTGTGCTGTGCGACAGGGGCCCACCAACCGGATTAGGGTTGGGCTCCCCCGATCAGGGAGCAGAGATAAGGGCCCAATAGGCCGTTGGGCCTATTGGTGGAGATCAACTAACATTCTCTCCCTTGATCTCATTCTATCTTTCACTTTCATATCATTTACTTTTGTTCATTCTATTACAGATTAGCTCATAGAGCATGTCTCATCGTCACGGTCCATTGCCGATAGACTTAATGACTACAACTCACTACTACATTTCGAAATAGATACTTATCTTTGGGCCTTCTTTTGTCCAGAATATTTTAGGCTTTCCCTTAAACCCAAGCTAGCTACATGTTCTCTCAACACCATGTCCTCTGAACATGTTGGGTGGTAAGCCTTTTGTAAGCGGATCCATGAGCATCCTTTACTCTTCTTATATGCTCAAGACTTATGACTTGATCCCGGACTTTATCTTTCACAACATAATACTCTATGTCAATGTGTTTGGCAGCACCACTTGACTTATGTTGTGAGCATCCTATACTGTCAGATTATAATCGCAGTATTACTTTAGTGGTCTATAGATGTCGTCAACCACCTTCAAACCGGGTATGAACTTCGTTAGTTAGTTCACCTGCCCATTGCCTCATAACACGCTATGAACTGTCATACATTGTGGACGATGTAGTGACAGTTTGCTTTGAGCTTTTCCATGAAATAGCTCCTCTTTGCGAGATGATAGAAAATCCACGTCTGGATATGCATTCACTCTCGCATAATCAGAATCTAAATATCCCACCATGTGGAGTGAATCAGATCTTCTATATGTTATCATGAGGCCTTTCGTTCCTTGCAAATAATGCAAGATTTTCTTTACTAATTTCAGTGTTCTATTCCAGAATTGCTCTGGAATCTACCAAGTAAAACCCGGTAACAAATGCCAAGTCAGGGCGTGTACATACTTGAGCATGTTGCAAGCTTCCGACAGCTGAAGCATATGGAACCACTTTCACTTTATCAATTGAGCTCATATTGGTTCCTGGGGCATTGAAAATCTCCATATCTGTCGCCCTTGACTATAGTAGCAGGTGAGGGACTACATTTGTGCATACTGAATTTCTTTAAGATCTTTTTCATGTATGCCTTTTGTGACAGTCATTATACCCTTTTCTTCTATCTCGGTGAATCTCGATCCCTAGAACGAACGAGGCTTTCTCAAGATCTTTCATATCAAGTTTTGAGAACAAAACTTATTTGTCTCCTGTAGTATACTGACATCACTACTAGCAAGTAAGATATCATTTACATACAGGATAAGGAAGATAAACTTCCCAATCTTAAACTTTGCATAGACACAACTGTCCTCTACATTCTCTTTAAAACCCAAAATTCTTTATTGACCGATCAAACTTCAAGTACCACTGTCTTGAAGCTTGCTTTAATCCATAAATGGATTTCTTTAGGCGGTATCCCATTCGTTCTTTTCCTTCCATGACAAAACCTTTCGGTTGTGCCATGTAAACATTTTCCTCCAAGTCTCTGTTGAGAAATGCCGTCTTTACATCCATATGATGTAATTCTTAATCGTAATGTGCCACTAATGCCATTATGATTCTGAAGGAAACTTTACATGAGACTGGAGAAAATGTCTCATTGTAATCAATCCCTTCTCTTTGCATAAAGCCTTTTGCCACAAGTCACACTTTATATGTCTCTATATTCCCTTAAGAGTCATGTTTAGTCTTGTAGGCCCATTTATAGCCTACTGTTTTGACTCTTTTAGGAATTATTTCCAAGTCCCAAACTTTATTAGCATTCAATGATTTCATTTCATCTTCCATGGCCTCAAGCCACTTTGATGACTGATCACTACTCATGGCTTCTTCAAACGAGGCGGGATCATCCTCCATTTGAAATTCTTTAGTGTTGTACACTTCATAATTAGCAGGAATAGCTGATTTTCTAACTCTTTTGAGACCTACTAGGGGCCTTCACATTCGGCACATCTTCTATTTTGAGGCTGTTGTTGCTCCCCCTCATGTGTGGCAATAGGTTCTATAGAATCCTGAAGAACAAGTTCCTCATCGTCATTCATTGTTGCCACAGGTGGGATAACAATAGGTGTTAGCACCATAGTATCTAGCACTGTCGGTGCAGCTACAGCAGGTAGTGAGAAAAATGGCTCATGAATCATTGGAGTGGGCGCATACACCTCTTCACTTCAAGGACAATTTCTCGAGCTACCATGCTCCCCCTTATCTTTTCATCTTCTAGAAAAACAGCGTGTCTCGTTTCCATAAACTTTGTATGTCTCTCTGGACAGTGGAAAACGAAAACCTTTTGACTTTTCTGTGTTGCCAATGAAATGGCACCTTACTATTTTGGAATCTAACTTCCTAATGTTTGGGTTAAATACTTTAGCCTCAGCAGGGCTCCCCCACACACACGCAAGTGGTTTAGTGAGGGTACTCTTTCTGTCCACAACTCATACGGTGTTTTGGGCACCGACTTTCTTGATACTCTATTGAGAATATAAATGGCGGTTTTAACGCCTTCATTCACAGGTTCAACTGTAAGGTGGAGTAACTTATCATACTGCCCACCATATCCATCAGGGTACGATTAATTCTTTTAGATACTCTATTCTGCTGAGGTTCGCTCGGTGTAGAATACTGAGCTACTATGCCATTCTTTTAGGGTATGCCGACCGTAGTACTCCCCCACGGTCAGACCTGACTATCTTAATCTTTAATATCTTAAATTTATCCAATACATCTTTTCTTTTTTTTGATTGGATAAATATAGTCATAATGGGAGTAATCATCTGTGAATGGATCATAACCATTCACACTCTTTACAGGAAAGCTGACCACAGATGTCAGTGTGAATAATCTGTAAAATTCCTGTGCTTCGTTTGTCATCTTTCTTTACATACTTTCCTTTTATGCATTCTCTGCATTGAACTTAATCTGAGAGCTCTAATGGAGGAAGAATATCATTCTTAACTTGTCTTTCTATTCTCCCCCTCGAAATATGGCCTAAACGACAGTGCCATAATTTCGACAACGCATCGTGAGCTCTCTTATGCCACCATTTCCAGAGTAACACTCTGTGACCAGCTTTATCAGCTAAGTGGCATGTCTTTGAAGAGCCAGTGAACTGCTCTTTATTCTATCGATGTACTTGGTGACCGTGTCACATTCTGGGATTGAGCCCACAATTGTAGGTTCAATCATGTTCTTTATCACAGCCAAACATTTCTTGTTTGCAGTGACCCACTTCCTATTATCAAAAGCCATAGGATATCTTTTGGAATTCAAAATTCCTTTTTTTAGTTGCCCAAGTGGCATCATTCTCTTTTGTCTCTCTCACCGGTGCCACAAACTCAGTGGAACACGGTGAGGTGACTACCCAGTCCACCTTAAACAAGATGAAAATCAGGTCAAATCTTTTCTTAACATAAAATTAACACCATTTGCATGCCTTGATTCCAACGTTGGTCAAAATCAAAACATACAACTATTTTTATACACTAATTCTACATCACTGTTGGGCAGAAATAGAATTAATGCATAAATCTTTAACTTTCATAACTGTTCTTACACACTAATTCTACATCACCGTTGGGCAGAAATAGAATTAATGCATAAATCGTTAAAATTAACATATGTTCTTATACACTAATTCTACATCACCGTTGGGCAGAAGTAGAATTAATGCATAAATCATTAAAATTACGATATTGTTATTAACAACGTTGGTCAGAAAATAACAACATCATAATCATATCAAAACTCTTTTTTTTTCTCCAATTAAATACCACATTGGTTCAAAATAACTGGAGAATCAACAATTTCTTTAGCAGCGGAAAAAATCTCTTTTTCTCCAATTAAATACCACATTGGTTCAAAATAATTGGAGACTCAACAACTTTACTTTGGCTATGGAAAAATTCTCTTTTCCTTGAATTTTACCCACAGGTAAAATACCTTTTCTATTATTCTTTTTGAGCCAATTTACATTTTTCAATTTTTCTGGAAAAAGAAAATATGTAAACAGGCTCTATCTCTTTCTTTCTCGGCCCAAAACGGCCAAAATCGGTTCGGCCCACTCCAAAGACGCAGACGATGCAGTCCACACTACCCCGCGTGCCAGAGCCACAACCTAGGGCTGGTCGAAACTGCTCGGCTGCTCGCGCTCGCTCACCAATGAGTTTGGCCCAATGCGCTCCGCCGTCGGATCACATCCGACGGTCGCCCGCTCATTTCGCTCGATCAAAAGCAACCGGAGGCGGCGCGTCATTTACCAAACCCTAGCTCATTTTCATTTGCTTTCTCTCTCTTCACCTCGCTCTTCTGCTTTCTCCTCCTCCAGAAGAACCAAAGATAAAGTGGCGGCGATCGAGAAGAAAGCAGCAAGGGCGATCGAGGATGGTGCCGTGCTGAGCCGGCCCGCATGGCAAGGCCCTCGCTGCAGGGTGGAGCGCCGTCCCGAGAGGACTAATGGCGGCACCCTTTTTCCCCACGGTGAGGAGCTCCGAAACCACAAACCCTAGATCTCCGTCTTCTTTTCAACTTTCTTTCTCTCTCGGCCTCACGAGCACGCTGGCCAAGTGGCAGATACGATGGTGAGATCTTCCATTTCCTTTAGTTCATCCGAGATCGGGTCGTGGGTTAGGGTTGGATTCGACCCTCCCTTTTCCCCTTTCTCGATTTGCTTTTGTGATCTTTCTTTTCTTTTGGAGTTCATCCGAATGGGATCTAGGGTTAGGGTTTCATATTCTTTTAATTTCTTTTCCTTTTCGGAGTTCATCCGAATGGATCTAGGGTTAGGGTTCGTGTGTCGACCCCTGTTCTTCTTCTTTCTTTTCTGTTTTCCTTTCTTTCTTCTCGGATTGAACCGATTAGCGATGTGGATTCGTTCTAGGGTTTCGCTTTTCAATTGATTTCTTTTTCTTTACTTTGATTTAGGGTTCGGCTCTATTCATCTTAGGGCCGAAACCTTTCTTTTCCCCTTTCTTTAACCCAGTTAGGGTTAGGGTTAGGGAGTGTTCGGTTCTTTTCTCTTGAGATCCGAAAGGAAGTGTTCGATTCGATTATTGTTCTTCTTCCCCGAGCTTCACTGCTTGGCAGGTTAGGGTTAGGTTCTTGATATCCCTTTTCCCTTTCTTTTCTCCGATCCAAACACGGATCTTTTTTTCATTTTCTTCTTGTCTTGTGCGCCGTGTAGAAACAATGATGCGTTCATCTTCCCCAGCGGTGGCGGTGGTGACCGGGTTCAGTGACATCCGCCACCCCGGTCCCTTTTCCTTTTTTTTACCCTTGTTTAGGGTTAGGGTTACACTTGTAACTTTGGCTCGATACCATTGTTAGGATCGATGTTTACCTTTGTGTGTGTAACCGTAGATCCGGGTAACATTCCATTCGCCGTGCGCGGTTGCGCTGTGACCTCGCGGACGTCGGTGTCGAGGCAGCTCCGGCTCGGTGGCGAGGTCCAGTGGCCCGGGTGGTGACCTGCAGGGGAGACGGCGGAGTCGGTGGGCCATCCCGTCGCTGGCAGCACGTCTTTAGATCGGATTAGGGTTTTCTTTGGTGGGTGTGGCGGCTCCGGCGAACCTCGTTTGTCGAGCCCTCACCCCCACCTTCCTTTTATGTGTGCTGTGCGACAGGGGCCCACCAACCGGATTAGGGTTGGGCTCCCCCGATCAGGGAGCAGAGATAAGGGCTCAATAGGCCGTTGGGCCTATTGGTGGAGATCAACTAACAGCGAGTACATGGGCGAGCATGCTCTGTGGGTGCGTGGGCGCCGTGGAGTGCGCAGGCGTGCGCGCGATGGGCGCTGGGCCCTTTCTACACTTACGTTTGGTCAGAGCTCTTCCAGTGCATAGTACTTGTTTCCATGACTTGTCAGCTACCAGCTCAGTATTGTTGCTAAAAGTTGCAATGTCTTCCTTCCATATCATGATGCAGTAAACGAGAACATGAGCAGGATGACAGTTCACAAGGCACTCTTTGAATCAGCTGGCCTTGTTGCAGCCAGCGTTGTGCAGGTCTACCTCATGCGCCGCCTCTTCGAGCGTAAGCTGGGGAGTTCTAGGGTCTAAATTATGTGGTAGTAGCTCTCCTTTTCCTCATTAGCAAAACAGATCTCGGAACTGCATTGTATTGTTGCGAGATTCAGTACATCCTGTTTGCGTGTTCATGAATATGTTTTGTTCCAGAAATTTGTAATTAATTTGTTAACAGAGTATAGACCCTTGAAATGTTTTTATTGCACAATTCATCCGTGCCTTCATCTCTAGGTATGTTTGTACCTGAGTATCGTGGCAGCTTCCTTTTTTTTTCTTTCTCTTCTGAAAAATAGAAATGTCTGGACTGAAAGGAACACTGCTACCCAAACCTGCTAGTAACCTATGTATGGCAACATCACGAATCATCTTTTCGGCGTCAAGTTTTTTTTTTTTTAATGAAACAGGAGGGGCTTGCCCCTACTGGAATTTATTGATAAAAATTAAAGACAGTACAAAACAAAGCACAGAGAATAGACAGAGGGGGGTGGGGTGGTTCAGTATACAAAAAAGGAGATAAAAAAGATGGGCCACACGAGATAGATTAAACAAGATTGTTTAACCATAATTCAATGTGGGCGAAGTAGCTTCTTTTTGCGCGTAGAAGAACTAGCGCAAACTCTGATCTGAAGAACCTTTTAGTTTCCTGCAGGGAGGGCAGGGTGTTGCTGAAGATGAGGCCATTTCCTGCTTGCCAGATTGCCCAACACATCAAAATTATGATTTCCATGAAGAAAGGGACATGCAACTACCTTATGAAGTTTTCCAGATTCTGAAAAAGGTCTAGATGATGATTTACTTGTAAGCCGATCGAATTCCAGAAGGCTGTAGCAAAGGGACAGTCGGCCAATAGATGAAACAAGGACTCTTCGGTTGATAAACTGCATAGCAGACAATTGTAGTCTTGTAGCTCCATATTTTTTCTTCTGAGAAGCTCTCTGGTGCTGATCCTGTCCTTTAGAATTAGCCAGGCAAAAACCTTGTGTTTATACTGACAGGAGCACTTCCAAATCCAATTGTAGCTATGATGAATTGTTCTGTGCCCTTTTAAGTGCTTGTATGCTTTAGGCACTGAAAATTTCCCTGTGTTCCAAATGCAAGACCAGTGGTCTGCTTCCTCATTCAGGTTAATCTGTTGCAGATCAGACCTTAGTTGATTCAACTGATCAAAAGCCTGCTGGGACAGTGGAAGATGAAATAGACTAAGAATACTGTCCCTTGATTTTGCTTCAGCTAGGATTGTTGTCTTTGATCTTGCAAAGGAGAAGAGTTCTGGGTAAGAGTGCATTGGCACATTGCTATTCCATAGGTCTAGCCATAGACAGCAAGATCTCGCATTGTTGATATTTGGCTTTGCCAATCCTTTGGATTTATCCAGCAGTTTTAAGATGTCCCTCCACCAAAAAAATCCTTTCTTAGTTGATGGCAGGTTGCCAGCTTCATAGTAGCTCTCCCACACCAGTGTCGCCCATGGAATGTCCTCTCTGGTGAAGAATTTCATTAAGTGCTTCAGCAATAAGGCTTCATTTTGGGTTCTGAGGTCTATCACTCCTAGCCTCCCTTCCTCTTTTGATTTACAAACTTCTGTCCAAGCCATCTTTGGTCTTTGCTTTGCATTTAAGTCTGCACCCCTCCAAAGACAGTGTTTTTTGAACTTGTCAATCTGTTCAATAATTGTGTTGTGGATAGCAAACGTGCTCATGCAGAAAGTTGGAAATGCTGAAAATAGCAAAATACTGAGTTAGTCAGCTGTAATCTCCCAGCTTGATTGAGGAATGTTGATGTAGCAGCAGGCCTTCTTTCACATCTGCTAACTAAGGGGGAGAAGTCAATTACTTTGGGTTTGTTCAAACTCAATGGCAAGCCTAAGTAAGTGAATGGTAATGACCCCTTTTCACAATTGAAAGTTCTTGCAAGATGGTCAAGTATGTCCTGTTGCACATTGATGGGGACCATGACTAACTTGCTGAGGAGTGTAAGAGTGCTTTCAATGTTAGGAGCTGCCTGCTGCAAGCTTCCATCACTATCAAGGTGTCATCAGCATATTGTAATATTGGGAAATCAGCTGAACTTCTCAGGGGAATTCGCAGATTCAATAAGTTGATGTTCTTGGCCTTGTTTAGGATTGACTGCAAGAGGTCTGCCACAAGAACAAAAAAAAGTGGGGAAAGTGGGTCACCCTGCTTGACACCTCTTCTACAGTGAAGGACCTTTCCTGGTACTCCATTTAGGAGAACAGATGATGTTCCAGACTCCAAGATGTTCTGGATCTGTCTGTTCCATTTATCTCCAAACCCTTTAGCCTTTAGAACTTGGATGATTGCTTCATGCTCCACCTTGTCAAACGCTTTCTCAAAATCCAGCTTTAGGATGATTAGCTGTTTTCTGGACTTGTGACAAATATGTAGATATTCTAAGGCCCATGCCAGACAGTCTTGTATAGTTCTAGATTTAATAAACCCATATTGGTTTTTGTGGATTACTTGCTTGATTGGTCCTTGCAATCTGTTTGCTAGAACTTTGGTGATGAGCTTGAGAGAGGTATTGAGCAGTGAAATTGGTCTGTAGTCAGCAGGTGTGATGGGACCATCTTTTTTGGGAATAAGAGTTGTATGAGAGGAGTTGATGCTTCTCAGACAGATTTCTCCCTCAAAAAAAGCTTCAAATAGGTTGTAGAAATCTGGAGCAATCAGAGGCCAGCTGCTCTTAATGAACTCATTATTGAAGCCATCTGGGCCAGGGGATTTATTATTGGGGAGATCTGCTACTACTTCATCTATTTCCTGCCTGGTGAAAGGTGCCTCTAGATCATGAAGCAAATCATTGGAATCAAGGAGATTATCCAAATTAAAGAGCATACCCCTGGATTCTGTCTTTCCCAGTCTGTCTTTGAAAGTCTCCCAAAGCAACTTTGCCTTTCCTTTAAGACTAGGCCTAAGTTATCCTGTAGACAAGCAATGGAGTTTTTCCTGTGTCTGATGGTGGCATGAGCATGAAAGTACTTTGTGTTGGCATCACCCTCTTTTACCCAGTTAATTTTTCCCCTTTGCTTCCAATAGCTTCTCTGCTGCTTCAGCAGGGAGATTAATTTGTTGCTTAACAACTCTCTGAAGTTCCATTCATAAACAGAAAGGTCTCTGAAACACTCAACTGAATCCAGCAAGGATCAATTTTGAGTTCTGATTGAGTGTTGCCAAAGGGAGAGATCTTGCTTGCCAATCTTTCAGCAATTTTTTTTTAGATTTTTGCACTTGGCTGTTATGAGCTTTGCAGGGGTAAAGGTGTAGGTGCTGACCATCCTTGTATAAGAATGTTTACAAAATCATTCCTGCTGAGCCAATGGTTTTCAAATATGAAAATGTGGCTTTTGGGGATTCTTGTGTTTATCTCCACATTACAGGGCCAGTGATCAGAAGTTTCCATGATCATAGCCTTCACTGTGTTTGGGTAGCTTTCTGTCCAAGCATTGGAGGTGAAGAACCAATCTAATCTTTCTAGCAATGGAGATAATTGCTTGTTGGTCCAAGTGAAGTGTCTGCCATGTAGAGGTAATTCAATCAAACCCAAGGCACTTATGGCTTCATTAAAAAGATACATCTCAGTGACATCCCCTCTGGTTAAAGTCACCCACTATGAGCCAGTCAGTGTGCTCAGGCATTTGAATATTCCTGAACCAATCTAAGAAAACTCTTTTACCAGCTGGCGTGCAGGGGGCATAAACAGTTGTCAGGACCCAACTATTGTTGTTTATCATCGATGTCATTTCAACAGAAATAGCAAACTCATTTTGGAAAACTTCTACACCAGAGAAAGAGGCTCCTTTCTAGGCTACCAGAATCCCTCCAGAAGCTCCCACAGACGGTTTGTAAACGAAAGAATCAAAACCCTGCGGGCAAATGTTTCTGATGAAGGTTTGATCTATCACTTCCTTCTTGGTCTCTTGGAGGCAAATTATGTCACTTCTGCTTTCAGTCACTTTATCTCTTATAGAATTCCATTTCTTCTCTGAATTCACCCCTCTAACATTCCAACAAAGGACTTTCCACAATCTGTTTGTATTCATTTTAAACTAGTGGGATGAAAAGTAGAGTGGAGAAGAAGACACTCCAAAAATTAAGGCAACCACCACATTAAACACAGGCACACCAGCAGAAGAAACAAGACAAAGAAGTAAAACTGAAAGGAATGACATAACGCAACCATTAAACAAACAGGAACGCCTGTCCAATAGTACCAAAAGACAAGCCCAAAAGGCCTAGACCACCAAGACAAAAGGTCTGATAACATGGATACAGAAAGGAAACAAAAGGTCTGATAACAAGAAGAGAAGAAAAACAACAACTTAGTTCTTCTCCTTCCCTTTCTGGGACACCCCCTTCTTCTTCATTTTAGTAAGCTTCTCTGGCACAGCCTTCATTATATCAAAATTTGACTGTCTGGCGCTGGGAAACCTCGGATGATACCAATACCAAATCCAAGGAGGTGATGCAATACTGGTTTGTTGCAAGCACTTGGCCATGAGACTGTTTTAAACTGATGCATAATTTGGAAGGTGCAGCCTTGTTGCCTACAGTTCCCTTTGCTAGTATTTGATTTGTTCTGGAGAAAGATTTCACAAATTTTTTTATACCATATATAAACAGCAGCCGGAGGCTGGAGCTGCAAAAGTGAGGACAGCTTACTAGAGCCGAGCTCGAAGTTCAAACCAGGCTCGCTCGAGTTCGGCTCGTTGACAGCCCAGCGGCTCAGCCGGTCAGCCCTATCCCAGTTCCGTCCGTCCTGACCTCCGGCCTCCGGGCACCGGCGCACCGGCACCGCACAGGCTCTCTCCGACTCTCCGCCCTCGCCATGGCCATGACCGCGGCGGCCGCCTGGCTCCCGTCGACCGCCTCCCGCCGGAGAATCTTAGCCTCTCCGCTCCCTCCGTTGGCGGCCCCTATCTCCATCCACATGCCACGGCGGGCGCCGCCTCCTCGTCCCATCCCCCCAAAGCCGCGCCTCGTCGTCGCCTCCGCGCAGTTCGATTTCTCCAGAGGTACCGTATGTCACGTATTTTCTCCTCTTGTTGTTGCGGCTTGCGAGGACGACTTGGATGCCATTATTTTCTTTCAGCAGGCGGAGTATTCTTCCTACCTGCAAAATTAGCTCTTACCAAACTAGTATATATATCTGAAGCAATTTATTTATTCAACCTGGCAGCATCACTTGTGTGACTGTGTCTGCGTGTCGTTACAACTAATCGATAGGTTGTGGTCGCAACTTGCAAATCTTGAAATCGTCAGAGGGATTATCGGATCTTCTGAAGTCAGAAGCAATCATCGATGTATTGTCTGCTCACCACTGCAGATTAACGGACAACAGGGTTCAGCTGATGTATGCTGCAGGGTACTGTGATTCCATTCCATATCCGTGCACTAAGATGACACTAATTGTGCTATTATTGCGTTCGGGTGCCAGGTTTAGGGCCACCGGCAAACTAGACAGTCAAACACCTCATGTCAATAAAACATTGGTTGGTTTGTTATTTCTATCTTTTTCTAGCACACCAAACACACAACAATCTGATTCTGGTACAATGCTAACTCCCCTTCCCCACCCCTTCTCACCTCTCAGGATGCATTGCTGCTCCTGCACTCAGTTTTCAGGGTTCAGGACCAAGCATCAAGTATGAGCTGCAAACTGTACTGAATGCTAACCTAAAATGCCACCATTTACACATACAGAATATTGTCTTGCCTGCTGACTCATCATTGATTTTGTCGCTGATGAAATTATCTGTATATTTGTATACCAATTGTCCTCATGTTGGGTCACATATATTTGTATGGATGCCTCTGTAGCCTCTATTATCCTTCTTCTATGACTAGGAGTAGGATATGCTGACCGGTATTTTTTAACATAATGAAATATATATAGAAAACACTTATTCTGCTATTCTCTTAACACTACATATATGATAACAGCTGTTCAAACGGCATGGAGGGTCGGTAACGATGCCGTGGAGGCAGGAAGTAATCTTGTCCCAGTATGTATTCCTTGGCCATTCATAACGCTTAAGCTATCATCCTCTTAGCTCTGAAGAAAATGTTTTTCCCTGAAGTTTTGATCTCAAGAAAATGTACTGACAACAAGAAACTCTAGTTCTGCTTTTTCTTTAAGATTTGAAATTGGACTGATTATCCCCCACTTATGTGTCACAGGGTTCAGTTCCACGACCAATTGCTAGGATAGGTGTTGCCTTTGCCGCTGTGGCAGTCGCCCTTTTCCTTGTTAAATCCGTTGTGTCCACTGCATTATTTGTTTTGGTAAGCAATCGCTACATTTGCAGTATGATTCTTCTGCCGTTGATGATCAATGTGCTGTGCTTAATATTGAATGACAAATAGCAAATGTACTCTGCACTTCCAATAACTGACATATTTACGAGAGCTAAAGGCCATCCATTTTACATTCTAGTCTTTTGTGGTTCAGTTTTGATGGTACTTGATACCACCAAATGATGGGTCTTGCAGGCAATGATGGGCCTCATATATCTCGGCTTCCTGGCTATGAACCCAAAGGAGGCCTCCGGCTCTAGGTTGGATGAAGCAATGGGCGACCCATCGGAAGACCCTGTTGAAGAGGCCCGAAGGATAATGGAGAAATACAAGTAATGAACCCGCGCAAAAGTGTTGTACGCTCAGAGGTAATGATTTGTCTGTTGAGTTTCCTTGCGTGAGGGGTGGATCTGATTTTAGCACACTACACTCAGTGATTTGATACATGTAAATATAGTAGTTGCATGGTTGAAATCAGTCCTTGGGACGAATTGAATTCAGCAAATCAACAACGCTGACAACAATTTCATTCTTATATAGTACTTGAATGTATAGTTGTACTGTTGAAATGAGTCCTTGGGACCAAATGAATTCTGCAAATCAACAAGAGGCTAACACCAATTTCATTCTTATGTATATATAGTAATAATTATTCAAGCTTTATTCATCACGGAAATTTTACTAGGCCTTATATATATGTATATATATAGTTTGTGATCTGAGATCTGCACATTTATAGTTGTACACTGCATATGTAGCCAAGCTCAGTTACAATATAAGGTACAATGCCAGGCTTTTCCAACGCTCCAGTAGTAGTAATTGGGCCTTCTTCAGTTGAGGATTGGGGGATGGGCCTTCAACTCTCCTTCAGTGCAGCCGGACGGGCCTGTCGAACACCCAGCTGATTCTGACAGATTGGGCCTCCTTTTGGGCCGTGCGGTCGTGGGCCAGCTCCTCCATCCTGCGGATCTTGCGCGGCAGCCCGCACACGTAGTCCTGCGCGCGCCGTCCCTCGCCGGACAGCCCCTCGAGCTCCGCCACCTTCCACCTGCGCACGAAATGCTCCACCATGTCGCCGTAGTCCGCCGCCGTGTACACCCCCGCACGTTGCGCCACCGTCGAGAAGCGATCGAAGAGGTTGTCGTCGCGGCCGTCGGTCATGCGCTCGCCGGGCATGGTGACCTTGGCTCGCATCACGACCGCGAGCGCCCGCACCACACTGTCCGGGTCACCCTCGAAGGACCTAGCGACGACCCTCGTGTAGGCGACCTCGTGGCGCTTCTCGTCGGCGGCGGTGACCCCGCAGAGCTTGGCGAGGTAGGCGTCTCCGTGGAGCATGGTGCGCTTGGCGCTGTGGGCGTGGGAGACGAAGGTGGCGGCGCGCTCCTGGAAGGCACCGTAGATGAAGCCATGGTAGGGACAGGAGGGCTCCAGCATGCTCATGCCGCGACGGAGGAGGTGGTGCACCATCCTCTCCACCTGGCGCATGTCCACGTGGCCGCACAAGTAGAGGTACCGGTTGAGCAGGTCGCCGTGGCAGTTCTCGGCGGTCCAGCCGTGCAGCCAGCGAGCCCAGCCGTGGTCGTCGCAGCCGGTGGTGTCGTTGACGCCTTCCGCCGCGCCGACCTGGTTTCCCATGGTCATGTACGTGGGCAGCCTCTCCTCCGTGATCATGTTGCCCACGAGGCACACGAGGAGGTCGTCGGGCATGCCAGCCGCGTGGGCCTGGAGCTCCACCACCTGGGTCCATTGCTCCTCTACGGCGGCAGTGAAGGTGGGCAAGAGATCGGCGGGATGCCATGCCTCTATTAGTGTTGATCTCTCTAGCTTGGCCCAACGGCCGAGTTGGGCCTTGACCTCGCGCCCTGATCGGGGGCGCCCAACCCTACATGGTTGGTGGGCCCCCATCGCACTGCGCTATAAAGAGAGGTGAGGGCCGGTGGCTCTCGAGACGAGGTTCACCGTGAGCCGCCACACCCACCGACAAACCCAATCCGATCTAGTGAGGGGCGTAGCCAGCGACGGGAAGCTCCACTGCCGTCTTCACCGTCACCTCTGCGCCACCACTGCACTGCGACTGACCTCAACACCATCACCGCGACACCGCCGACCCGGACCGCATCACTTTCACCATGGCTACATCGAGCTCTTCCTCCAAGCCCGCGTATAGTCGGTGACATCTCACCTCTCTTCCTCTTTCTCTCTCTAGATCATGTTCTAGGAAGTTTTATCCCGTATGTAAGGTTGTACCCACTAGATCTATGTCTAGGTGATCCACTATGTCTATCATTGGTACCAGTTAGCCTAATCTAGCGTGTAGATCTAGATCGGGGCAGCATTTATAAGGAGATGAACGAATCGAATTCGAGTTTAAACCCTAACCCTAACCTGATGAAGGGGAAAGGACGGGGAGGGGAAGGAACCTATCTGGGTCTTCTCGCCACCATCGACACCGCCGTCACGCGGGAAGAAGGACCCACCGCCGCGTCGTCGGCGCGCGGGAAGAGTTTCGGGCCGCAGCCTATCACCGCACGTGCGAGCTCCGACTGAGGGCACCACCACAAGCCCGCTCGACGGCGGCGCGCTCATCGTCGGGCCCTCCTTCCTCCGGCCGCCTTGGGTGGCCGCCGCTGCCTCGGCTGCGCGCTGAGAGAGGAGAGGGGATGAGAAGAATGGAGTTAGGGTTCCGGGAAGACGACGACTGCGCGGGTTTTGTTCCACCGATCTCGACGGACTGCCGTCGGATCTAATCTGACGGTCAGTTTTCGCTGGACCAATGGTCGGCCCAGGCAGGGAAGGTGCTTTTCTGGCCCTGGCCCAGGTTGCGGCCTGGGCGCGCGGAGCATGGAGAGCGCGGCGTGCGCGATGGGCCGCGGGCCGCATAGCACTGGCCGGGCCAAATGAACAGTTGCAGATGATTTTAAGTTTTATAATTTTCAGAAGCAATTTTGATGAATTTTATTAAGTATAGATGTTTCAATCTTTGCTCAAATTTGAATCAACGGGAAAATTTGTTCATAGAGTAGATAAGTACTAATGAAATGCTTCTGATAATATCATTTTAAGATTATTTTTTTTATGTTTCCATTGCAAAGTTGATGTTTATTATCTTCTAATTAAATTCGAACCAATAGGAGGATTTAATTTTGAAGAGTAGTTATAGTATTCAGTAAATTATGATATTGTTATTTTTCAGACCAACGTTGATAATAGCAATATTATAATTTTTTTATTCATGTGTTTTTCCATGCATTAGTTCTATTTTTGCCCAACGGTGATGTAAAATTAATGTAGAAGCATATTGTATGTTTTAATTTTAACCAACGTTAAATTATGGCATGCAATTATTATGTCATGTTTTCTCACTTTCTCTGATGGTGTTTTTAGGACTCAACCCTATGGCATTCATCTCGCACATTTCACCTCTTGAAGGGGGCAACTATCACGTATGGCTAGAGAAGTATGAGTTGGTACTTGCGCTGTCCGAGAATGACCTAGCACTTACCTCTCCGTGCCCTACTGAGACAGTGGACCCAGTGAGGGCAGAGAATGAAACTGATGCTGATTTCACTACTTGGCAGCGAGATCATGCAAAAGTGAGAATGAAATACGATTTTGATTATAAGAAGTGGAACATTTCGAACCGCAAGTGCTTGATGGTGGCTAAGTCCACTATTTTAGATGCAATAAGGGGATCAATCCCAGATTGTGACACCGCCGCCGAGTATCTCAAGAAAGTGGACAATTAGTTTACTGGCTCTTCAAAGGCTTATGCAAGCACCCTGATCAAGAAGTTATTCAATGAGAAATACTCTGGTGGAGAGATAAGACAGCACATATTGAAGATGAGCAACACGACATCCAAGCTCAAGCTAATGGATTTGGGGCTCAAAGATGAGTTTCTGATTTATTTGGTTTTTGCTTCTTTGCCTAAAGAGTATGAAACTTTTGTTGTTAATTACAACATGCAGCATGATAAATGGGACATTGAGAAACTCATTGCCATGTGTGTGCAAGAAGAGGAGAGGCTTAAAAGCTCACATGGTGACTCTGCTAACCATGTGAAGGACTATAAAAAGAACTTTAACAAGAATGTCAAACCTTAAGGGAAAGCCTCTCAGAATGATCACTATCAGAAGAACATTGTCCAAGTTGACAAGGATCAATGCAAATGGTGCAAGAAGCATGGACATTACCAGAAGGACTGTCTAGATTTCCTGAAGAGCTTTTTGAAGAGAGGGATTCCATACAAGGAGGACCCTGCAAAGAGAAGAAAGAAGAATTAAAGTGGCAAATGGAGTTGAAGCTGAAGTTGAAGCCATTTTAGAATTTTCAGATTTAGAACAATGCATTGATTGAATAAAAGGAAAGTATGTTAAGAGAATAAAGAAAGATGCCAAATAAAGCGCAGGAATTTTAGAAATAATTCATACAGATATCTGTGGTTCTTTTCCTGTGAAGAGTGTGGATGGTTATGATTCATTTATAACATTCACAGATGATTATTCTCGTTATGGCTATATTTATCTAATTAAGAAAAGATCAGAAGCATTGGATAAATTTAAGATATTTAAAGCTGAAGTAGAAAATCAACACAACTTAAAGATTAAGATAGTAAGATTCGATCGTGGGGGAGTACTACGGTCGACACACCCCATATGGCCAAGTTCCTGGACCTTTTGTAAGGTTCTTACAGGAAAATAACATAGTTGCCCAGTACTCTACACCGGACGAGCCTCATCAGAACGGAGTAGCGCAACCGTACCTTAATGGATATGGTGAGAAGTATGATAAGTTACTCTACTCTACCGATAAGTTTATGGATGGAGGCGTTAAAAACCGCTATTCATATTCTTAATCGAGTGCCAAGCAAGTCGGTGCCCAAAACACCATATGAGTTGTGGACAGGAAAGGAACCCTCACTTAACTATTTACGTATGTGGGCTGTCCAGCTAAGGTTAAAGTCTTTAACCCAAACATAGAGAAGCTAGACTCCAAGACGGTCAGTTGCCATTTCATTGGCTATCCAGAAAAGTTAAAAGGTTATCGCTTCTATTGTCCTAATAGACATGAAGTTTGTAGAAACAAGACACACTGCGTTCTTGCAGAATGATATGGTCAGGGGGAGCATGGTAGTGCGAGAAATTAACCTAGAGGAGAAGCGGGTACATGTGCCTACTCCGATAGTTCAGGAGCCATTCTTCACGCTACATGTTGTTGCTGCACCAACAGTTCAAGACACTATAATAACATCACCTGTTGTTTGTTCTCCTGTGATGACAATAAATAAACATGAGGAACCTGTCCTTCAGGATCCTGTAGATCCCGTTGTCACACATGAGGAAGAACAACAGCAACCTCATATAGAACAAGCATCAACTAATGAGGCCCTTAGAAGGTCTCAAAGAGTCAGGAAACCAGCCATTCCTGATGACTACGAAGTCTATGAATGTGAAGAATCTCAAATGGAGGGTGATCTCACCTCATTTGAAGAAGCCATGAGAAGTGCTCACTCATCAAAGTGGCTTAAAACCATGCAAGATGAAATGAGATCAATGAATACCAACGGTGTTTGTGACTTAGAAACAATTCCTAAAGGAGCTAAGACAGTAGGCTGTAAATAAGTCTACAAAACTAAATATGACTCCAAAGAGAATGTAGAAAGATTTAAAGCGCTACTTGTGGCGAAAGGCTTCACGCAAAGAGAAGGCATAGATTATAATGAGACATTTTCTCCAGTCTCATGTAAGGATTCTTTTAGAATTATAATGGCACTTGTAGCATATTACGATTTAGAATTACATCAGATTGATGTAAAGACGGCGTTCCTAAACGGAGATTTGGAGGAAAATATTTACATGGCACAACCAAAAGATTTTGTTGTGGAAGGAAAAGAACGTATGAGATGCCGCCTGAAGAAATCTATTTATGGATTAAAACAAGCATCAAGACAGTGGTATTTAAAGTTTGATAGTACAATAAGAAAGTTTGGGTTTCAAAAAAATATAGAGGACAATTGCGTTTATATAAAGTTCAAGAATGGGAAATACATTTTCCTAATCTTGTATGTGGATGACATCTTACTCGCTAGTAGTGATGTTAATCTACTACTAGAAATAAAAAAGTTTTTGTCCTCGAATTTTGATATGAAGGATCTCGGTGAAGCTTCGTTTGTTCTAGTAATAGAGATTCACCGAGATAGAAGGAATGAGGTTTTAGGATTATCCTAAAAAACATACTTAGAAAAGGTTCTAAAGAAATACAGTATGCAAAATTGTAAGCTTTCACCTACTTTTATAGTCAAGGACGATAGATTTGGGGAATTCCAATGTCTAGGAACCAATATGTGATTGATCAAATGAAAGCGGTTCCATATGCTTCAACTATCGGAAGTTTACAGTATGCTCAAGTGTGTACACGTCCTGACTTAGCGTCTGTTACCGGATTACTTGGCAGATATCAGAGTAATCCAAGAATAAAACACTGGAGACTGATAAAGAAAGTTTTACGTTACTTGCAAGGCACAAAAGACCTCATGCTAACGTACAAAAAATATGATTCCTTACACATAGAGGGGTATTCAGATTCAGATTATGCGGGAGATGATAGAAAATCCACGTCAGAATATATATTTACTCTCGCAGGAGAAGCTATATCATGAAAAAGCTCCAAGCAAACCGTCACTACATCGTCTACGATGTATGCTAAGT